CAGCGAACCGTGGGAAAGAGTTGCATTAGATATGTTAACTAATTTCCAGTGTTCCCTCCAGGGCAACAAACATCTGTGTGTTATGGTAGACCATTTCACCAGATATTGTGAGTTAGTTCCTATTGCAGATAAGACTGCCGAGACAGTAGCTAAAGCGTTTAAAGAACGCATTATCTGCAGGCATACCACCCCTAAGTCCCTAGTAACTGATAATGGAGGTGAATTCTGTAATGAGATTCTTGAAAATTTGTGTACCTTGTACAAGATCTCTAAATCCACAATTGTTCCTCATCATCCTGCCAGCAATGGGTTAGCGGAACGAACCAATAAGAAAGTATTTGATGTCTTGAGAGCCACTATCAATCCCAACAGTGAAACTTGGGATGAAGTTATACCTGATGTGCAGTGTGCTATAAGTTATACTTACAATGTTTCTATAGGTGACACTCCACATTATGTATTGTACAGTGTAGATAAACGTTTGCCTTATGAGTTGCTATATTCTAATTCGAAACCAAATTACAACCCTGATGATTTCATAGTAACTCGTACCAGCTTGGCTCAAAGCGTCTTTAGAAGAATCCGTGAAACACTTCATAAATCAACAGCAGAATTACAAGAGTCGCAAACACTCGAGCAAAGCTGTCCAAAATCAAAGTAGGTTCGAGAGTTACGCTGACTAACTTTAACAAAATGTCTGCAATGCCTAAGCTTGATCATAAGTTTGTTGGTCCTTATCGAGTAGTTGAACATATCACTGGTAATAAGTATAAAGTTAGAAAAATTAGTACTGGTCAGTATAAAGAATCGCATTTAGATCATATGAAGTTAGTATGTGATGATAATGATATTCCAACCCAGACTAATGTGACAGACTCTGACAATCCTCCTGATCCTGTACTCTCTACCTCTAATTCTCAGTCAGATGATCAACCCGAACGTCGTTATTCCCTACGTACACGACAGGTATTGAGAAATCCTCAAGTATCATTTGTAACTACCAATTCAGATTTGCCTCAAATATGGCATGAGTTAGCCAGTGCAACAGAGTTTGGTCCTCCCAGAGATGACACCCATTCTGCATATGTCATTCTCACCCTAGCAGAGTTGGGGTTAAATGTAAATAACCTGTATAGATAATTACAGTATCAACTTATCAGTATTCAAGAATTTTTTTTTTTTTGTGTTCACATTCTCTCCGAATTCAGAGATTTAACAGTCTAGATTTGAGTGCACTAAGTCTGCCTTTCTGTTAAATACTTCTTTCTTTGTATATATTTCTTCCTCAGAATCCATAGATCACATGAATGCAGATCAATCGATCAAATTTTTTTTATCACTTCTATTGTGTAATCCCAATGTTGAGTCTCATTCGATGACTTGTGCTGTATCATACCTTGTAATGCATTACAGTTTCATTACAGTAAGTTTCATTATAGTCAGTTATGTAAGCTTCCGTTCCAATATTCTACTTATGTATGTTACAATGTTCAATTGTTGTGTACTTTGACATTGTATAGAATCAGCCGAAGCCGTACGCCTGCCGTCTCTAGTTTGTATTAGCTGTATGTCGGGACGACATATGTTAGCGTCACCGAGCTCTCAGTAGTACCAGTTACCAGTAACCAGTTACCAGTAGATGACTCACTACCAACTGTGTGTGAATCACTGACTGTTATTCACGTTGCTGCTGACCATAGCATGTTTTTGAACGCCACTCACCCCCTAGGCACTGGTGGGTCAGTCTTAAGATAGAGAGCACAGAGGCAGGGCGGCTGATGGTGCTTCCCATACTTTCCGTTATAATTATACGTACTAACCAGCCTACGTAAGTGTTCTTACCCCCAGCCACATTTCGAACCCCACATGACATCTGCACCTACAGCGGTAGCCTGCACCTATAGCTCTTGCCTACACCTTCAGTGCTAGTCTGCACCTACAGTGCTAGCCTGCACCTACAGTGCTAGTCTGCACCTACAGTGCTAGTCTGCACCTACAGTGCTAGCCAGCACCTACAGAGCTAGTCTGCATCTACAGTTCTATCCAACACCTACTTTTCTAGAATGCACCTACAGTGCTAGGCAGCATCTACAGGGCTGCACCTTGAGTGCTAGCCTGCAACTACAGTGCTAGCCTACACCTACAGTGCTAACCTGCTCCAACAGTATTAGAATGAACTAATAGTGCTAGCTTGCACGTACAGTGCTAGCTTGCATCTACAGTACTAGCCTGCACTTAAAGTACTAGCCTGCACTTACAGTGCTAGCCTGTACCTACATCACTAGCCTGCACCTAGAGTGCCTGCACCTACGATGCTAGTCTGCACCTTCAGTTACAGCCTGTACGTTCAGTGCTAGTCTGCACCTAGAGTGCTAGTTTACACCTTCAGTATTAGCCTGCACCTACAGTGCTAGCCTGCACCTACAGTGCTAGCCTGCGCCTACAGTGCAAGCCTGTACCTTCAGTACTAACCTGCACCTACAGTGCTAGCCTGCACCTTGAGTGCTAACCTGCACCTTCAGGGCTAGCCTGCACCTACAGTACAAGCCTGCACCTACAGTGCTAATCTGCACCTAAAGTGCTAACCTGCCCCTACAGTGCTAGTCTGCGCCTACAGTACTAGACTGCACCTATGGTAGAAGTCTGTACCTACAATGTTAAGCTGAACAATAGATCCTAGGTACTCTTTTCCTAGTGGATAATAACGCCAAACCTGCACCTACACTGCTAGCCTGCACCTTCAGTGCTAGCTTGCACCTACAGTACTAGCCTGCAAATACAATGCTAGCTTATACCTGCAGTACTTGCCTGCACCTACAGTGCTAGCCTACACCTACAGTACTAGACTGAGCCTACAGTGCAAGCCTGCACCTACAGTGCTATCCTGCATCATCAGTGCTAGTCTGCACCTACACTGCTAGCCAGCACCTTCAGTGCTAGTCTGTACCTACACTGCTAGCCTGCACATACAGTGCTAGGTTGCACGAACAGTGCTAGCCTGCACCTACAGTGCTAGCATGGATCTACAGTTCTAGCCTGCATCTGCAGTACTAGCCTGCACCTACAGAGGTAGCTTGCACCTGTAGTGTAAGTCTTCATCTTCAGTGTTAGTCTGCACCTACAGTGCTAGCTTGCACCTACAATACTAGACTGCACCTACAGTATTGGCCTGCACCTACACTTCTAGCCTGCACAATAGGTCCTAGGCACTGTACCTATGTTGCCTAGGGGATAATAACGCCTAGCCTACACCTACACTGCTTTTCTGCACCTACAGTACTAGCCTGCACCTACACTTCTAGCCTGCACAATAGGTCCTAGGCACTGTACCTATGTTGCCTAGGGGATAATAACGCCTAGCCTACACCTACACTGCTTTTCTGCACCTACAGTGCTAGCCTGCACCTACAAAGGTAGGCTGTAACTACAGTACTAGCCTGCACCAACAGTGCTTGCCTGCACCTACAGTAATAGCCTGCACCTCCAGTGCTAGTCTGCACCTACAGTGTTAGCCTGCCCCTAGAGTGTTAGCCTGCACCTACAGTGCTAGCCTGCACCTACACTGCCAGCCTGCACCTTCAGTGCTAGTCTGTACCTACACTGCTAGCCTGCGCCTACAGTGCTAGTCTGCACCTACAGTACTAGCCTGCACCTACAGTGCTAGCCTACACCTACAGTACTAGACTGAACCTACAGTGCAAGCCTGCACCTACAGTGCTATCCTGCATCATCAGTGCTAGTCTGCACCTACACTGATAGCCTGCACCTTCAGTGCTAGTCTGTACCTACACTGCTAGCCTGCGCCTACAGTGCTAGTCTGCACCTACAGTACTAGCCTGCACCTACAGTGCTAGGTTGCACGAACAGTGCTAGCCTGCACCTACAGTGCTAGCCTGGATCTACAGTGCTAGCCTGCATCTGCAGTACTTGCCTGCACCTACAGAGGTAGCTTGCACCTGTAGTGTAAGTCTTCACCTTCAGTGTTAGTCTGCACCTACAGTGCTAGCTTGCACCTACAATACTAGACTGCACCTACAGTATTGGCCTGCACCTACACTTCTAGCCTGCACAATAGGTCCTAGGCACTGTACCTATGTTGCCTAGGGGATAATAACGCCTAGCCTACACCTACACTGCTTTTCTGCACCTACAGTACTAGCCTGCACCTACACTTCTAGCCTGCACCTACAGTGCTAGCCTGCACCTACAAAGGTAGCCTGTAACTACAGTACTAGCCTGCACCAACAGTGCTTGCCTGCACCTACAGTAATAGCCTGCACCTCCAGTGCTAGCCTGCACCTACAGTGTTAGCCTGCCCCTAGAGTGTTAGCCTGCACCTACAGTGCTAGCCTGCACCTACACTGCTAGCCTGCACCTACAGTGCTAGCCTGCACCTACAGTGCTAGCCTGCATCTACCGTGCTACAGTACTAGCCTGCACCTACAGTGCTAGCTTGCACCTACAGCTCTAGCTTTCACCTATAGTGCTAGTCTGCACGTTGAGTGCTGGTCTGCACCTACAGTGCTGGCTTGCACCTACAATACTAGACCACACCTACAATACTAGCCTGCACTTACACTGCAAGCCTGCACAATAGGTCCTAGACACTGTACCTATTTTGCCTAGTGGATAATAAAGCCTAGCCTGCACCTACACTGCTAATCTGCACTACAGTACTAGCCTGGACCTACAGTGCTAGCTTGCACCTACAGTGCTAGTCTACTCCTCCAGTGCTAGCCTGCACCTACAGTGTTAGCCTGCACCTACAGTGCTAGCCCGCACCTACAGTGCTAGCCTGCACCTACAGTGCTTGCCTGCACGTACACTGCTAACTTACACCTACAGCACTAGCCTGCATCTACGGTGGTCAATTGCAGCTACAGTACTAGCCTGCACCTACGTGTTATCCTGCACCTACAGTGCTAGCCTGCACCTACGTTGCTCAACTGCTACAGCTACAGTATTAGTCTGCACCTTCTGTGCTCACCTACACTACTCACCTGCGGCTTCGTGACCATCAGTAAAGTCTATGAGGCTCCAAGACAGCAGAGTTGTGGTGAAGGCTTGAGGTAAGAGGAACTTCACGAAGTCTCCGGCTGTAACATATGTGTGAACCCATGAGAATTACGAGAACACATGAGAGCACATGAGAACACACGAGAACACATGAGTGCACACGAGATCATCGCTGGCATGTGAAGTAAGCATCACTATTGATTTATATTTATCAGTGTTTTAAAAATGATTATTTTTCCACTTATTGCTGCTTTGACTGGTGAACATTAAGTGTCTAATTTACGATTGCTTTCTGTCTCTGTGTCTCCGTCTGTCTGTTTGTCTGTCTGTTTGTTTATCTGTCTGTTTGTCTCTCTTACCATCAAAATATCCTCCCGTCAGATCCAGGCCCACGTCAGAGCCGTCCCCAAGAGCCGAGTCTTTGCGCCAGGTGAGCCGCTGCTCATCGGGAAGCTTTCCTGAGCGCTGAGCTTCGTAGAAAACATAAGACATACACAGTAACTGTGGAAGAGAGGTGCACCTCAGTGGCAAGTGTCACACCTCAGGATTCTTGTTTTCCCTTTTATTTACAAAATTTGGAAATGGTTTTACAAAGACGTATAAATTTTTACAGTCTCTTCCAGGTCTTGAGGACATTACATTTACATATAGCATTATGCAAGTTTCACCCGACGATAATCCGGAAAATAAGTTTATTATCTACATTACACAAGCTTAAACTTCTGTCTTTCATACTAACATATGCAAAAGCATGGAAAATAACCACAGAGGGAGTTGACTGATAGCTCTAGGCCTTTCGTGTTGCAATCGACACATCACCAAGAGCTCTTGCAATGATGCAGGCTTACAGTATTGCAAGCTCCTCATGATATCTTCATTACAACACGAAGGGCCCAAGAGCTATAATTCAATTCCTCCTGTGGTTATTTTGCAACTTGTGTCACTTTACCGATTCTTGCATAATGCTAGTATATGCGTAAATCATCTAGGATAACACAGTCAACTCTGACTATTGTGATCTTTGTATTATAGATTATCAGAAATGGTAAAAAATATCTGTTAATATTAATAAAAAAAAAATATAAAAAGTGAATTAAACAATGTGACATTAATAAATAAGATTATATTTAGGCAAGTAATACCCATTATACAAGTGTAGATGTTAGTTGCAATTTCACATGACCAATGTAACACTCATTTGTGCATTACTTGTTGTCTGTATTGGACAGCAGAGGCGCCGTGAGTACGCTCAGAGACATCACAATAAGTGTCAGGGGGCCAAGACTGTTCAACTGCCTCCAAGCATACATAAGGAGGATTACCAATAGACCCCTGTCTATTGGTCTTCAAGAAGGCACTGGACAGTCACCTAAAGTCAGTACCTGACCAACCGGGCTGTGGTTCGTATGTCGCTTTACGTGCGACCAGCAGTAACAGCCTGGTTGAACATGCTCTGATCCACCGTAAAGCCTGGTCATGGACCAAACCGCGGGGGCGTTGAGCCCCGGAATACCCTTACGGCATAATGTTTAATTAAAAGCGTTTAGTGCTATGACTTTCATTGTAACAAGAGTTACCTATCACTGCCTGACACCTGACATAATTTCCAGATACATTATTGTAACAACCAATATTTTCGTATTTATTAATCGCAATTTTATAACACTGTATGATAGATTTGATACATCTGAGCTTTGCTTGTGTGTGCTAAGTGGTAAGTGGAACTAGTACTCTCCAGCGTCTGGACTCAACTTCGCAAGTACTGAATAAACGTTATCTGAGACGGCCATCGTAGTGTCTACACACAGAGTATATGTGGACTTAGTTTTTAACTAGATGGTTTCTGCGCACTCATGTGGTAATGAGTTACTCAATCTGAAGCTTGTATTGGTCTTAAGATATTGTTTATGATATTTCATTTATATGATTAGAAGAATGATGAACTTACAGCAGTTATACACAACCCGCACTTATAAGAGAGGAGCTTAAGATTTGTTTATAACAGGTGGATTAGACGTGCATCAAACAATTTTAATTATACATTACGTTTCAACTCTTCATAATGCACTGTAAATATATTTATATACGATGTCTTCATTTGGTAAAGATAGGTGCGTTGTACATGTCTTCTTTTTTTAACACTAAATCCCCAGACGGGTGAAAAGAAGTTAGATTGTATCTGTTTACAACTGTGAGATGTGTTTCTCCAGCAGACAATATTGTGGATGTAAAGGCAGGCGTGCCTCGCAGCAGTCAGGAGAATGATATAAAGCTACAGTAAAAGATTACCTGTTTGTAGTCGTAGGGTGTCATACCCGTGGGGCCGCAGGGGTTCGGTACGTCTTCCACCTGGGCCACCTTACCCTCACATCCTGTGTTAAGAAATCGAAATGAAATTACTGAAATGAGATGCTGACGTTGAGAGGACACAACTATATGGAAGACTAAAAGCGTAAACAATGACAACAATAGTTCAGTGTTCATGAAGGTTCGAGTGCTGAACGGCCAGCTAGCCCAGTGGTTTAAGCACTGGCCTCGAGTTTTACGACTCACTCGCCATGGGTTCAAATTCCGCCCATTCCATGGTTTGTTCACAATCGTGTTATTACGATATCGTCAGGATACATATACATGGCGTGTTGGTGAGGGTGTGGAGATACACTTAGGGTGTTCATTTATACGTATGGTGTGTTGCGAATGCACATGAGATACACATAATGTGTTGATAAATGCACATAGTATTGAGAGTTACATATAAAGTGTTGCGAGGTGCACATAGTATTGAGAGTTACATATAAAGTGTTGAGAGGTGCACATAGTATTGAGAGTTACATATAAAGTGTTGAGAGGTGCACATAGTATTGAGAGTTACATATAAAGTGTTGAGAGGTGCACATAGTATTGAGAGTTACATATAAAGTGTTGAGAGGTGCACATAGTATTGAGAGTTACATATAAAGTGTTTGAGAGGTGCACATAGTATTGAGAGTTACATATAAAGTGTTGAGAGGTGCACATAGTATTGAGAGTTACATATAAAGTGTTGAGAGGTGCACATAGTATTGAGAGGCACACATAGGGTGTTGATCCCAAGAAGAGGCGAGACCTTCCCCTGTCTCGAGTGAAGTCTGATTAACTCCCCATTCCTCTAAGGGGTTTAGCGCTTCCCAAGAAAACAATACAAAAAAAAAAATAATAATAATAATAATAATAATAATAATTAAAAAAAAATAAAAATAATAATAATACTTAAAAGATGCATTATGTTGTGTGATAAGTCCTGTTCTACCCAAGAACCCAAGTGGAGAACACAGAACACACAGAGAACACAGAACACACAGAGAACACAGAACACACAGAGAACACAGAACACACAGAGAACACAGAACACACAGAGAACACAGAACACACAGAGAACACAGAACACACAGAGAACACAGAACACACAGAGAACACAGAACACACAGAGAACACAGAACACACAGAGAACACAGAACACACAGAGAAACACAGAACACACAGAGAACACAGAACACACAGAGAACACAGAACACACAGAGAACACAGAACACACAGAGAACACAGAACACACAGAGAACACAGAACACACAGAGAACACAGAACACACAGAGAACACAGAACACACAGAGAACACAGAACACACAGAGAACACAGAACACCACAGAGAACACAGAACACAGAGAACACAGAACACACAGAGAACACAGAACACAGAAACACAGAGAACACAGAACACACAGAGAACACAGAACACACAGAGAACACAGAACACACAGAGAACACAGAACACACAGAGAACACAGAACACACAGAGAACACAGAACACACAGAGAACACAGAACACACAGAGAACACAGAACACACAGAGAACACAGAACACAGAGAACACAGAACACACAGAGAAACACAGAAGACGCAGAGAACACAGAACAAACAGAGAACACAGAACACACAGAGAACACAGAACACACAGAGAACACAGAACACACAGAGAACACAGAACACACAGAGAACACAGAACACACAAGAGAACACAGAACACACAGAGAACACAGAACACACAGAGAACACAGAACACAGAGAACACAGAACACACAGAGAACACAGAACACACAGAGAACAGAACACACAGAGAACACAGAACACACAGAGAACACAGAACACACAGAGAACACAGAAGACGCAGAGAACACAGAACACACAGAGAACACAGAACACACAGAGAACACAGAACACACAGAGAACACAGAACACACAGAGAACACAGAACACACAGAGAACACAGAACACACAGAGAACACAGAACACACAGAGAACACAGAACACAGAACACACAGAGAACACAGAAGACGCAGAGAACACAGAACACACAGAGAACACAGAACACACAGAGAACACAGAACACACAGAGAACACAGAACACAGAGAACACAGAACACACAGAGAAACACAGAACACAGAACACACAGAGAACACAGAACACACAGAGAACACAGAACACACAGAGAACACAGAACACACAGAGAACACAGAACACACAGAGAACACAGAACACACAGAGAACACAGAACACACAGAGAACACAGAACACACAGAGAACACAGAACACACAGAGAACACAGAACACAGAGAACACAGAACACACAGAGAACACAGAAGACGCAGAGAACACAGAACAAACAGAGAACACAGAACACACAGAGAACACAGAACACACAGAGAACACAGAACACACAGAGAACACAGAACACACAGAGAACACAGAACACACAGAGAACACAGAACACACAGAGAACACAGAACACACAGAGAACACAGAACACACAGAGCACACAGAAGACGCAGAGAACACAGAACACACAGAGAACACAGAAGGCACAGAGAACACAGAAGGCACAGAGAACACAGAACACACAGAGAACACAGAACACACAGAGAAACACAGAACACACAGAGAACACAGAACACACAGAGAACACAGAACACACAGAGAACACAGAACACACAGAGAACACAGAAGACGCAGAGAACACAGAACACACAGAGAACACAGAAGACGCAGAGAACACAGAACACACAGAGAACACAGAACACACAGAGAACACAGAACACACAGAGAACACAGAACACACAGAGAACACAGAAGACGCAGAGAACACAAAACACACAGAGAACACAGAACACACAGAGAACACACAGAGAACACAGAACACACAGAGAACACAGAACACACAGAGAACACAGAACACACAGAGAACACAGAACACACAGAGAACACAGAACACACAGAGAACACAGAACACACAGAGAACACAGAACACGCAGAGAAACACAGAACACGCAGAGAAACACAGAACACACAGAGAACACAGAACACACAGAGAACACAGAACACACAGAGAACACAGAACACACAGAGAACACAGAACACACAGAGAACACAGAACACACAGAGAACACAGAACACACAGAGAACACAGAACACACAGAGAACACAGAACACACAGAGAACACAGAACACAGAGAACACAGAACATACAGAGAACACAGAACACACAGAGAACACAGAAGACGCAGAGAACACAGAACACACAGAGAACACAGAAGACGCAGAGAACACAGAAGACGCAGAGAACACAGAAGACGCAGAGAACACAGAAGACGCAGAGAACACAGAAGACGCAGAGAACACAGAAGACGCAGAGAACACAGAAGCGCAGAGAACACAGAAGACGCAGAGAACACAGAAGACACAGAGAACACAGAAGACACAGAGAACACAGAAGACGCAGAGAACACAGAAGACACAGAGAACACAGAAGACACAGAGAACACAGAAGACGCAGAGAACACAGAAGACGCAGAGAACACAGAAGACGCAGAGAACACAGCAGAAGCAGAGAACACAGAAGACGCAGAGAACACAGAAGACGCAGAGAACACAGAAGACGCAGAGAAACACAGAAGACGCAGAGAACACAGAAGACGCAGAGAACACAGAAGACGCAGAGAACACAGAAGACGCAGATAACACAGAAGACGCAGAGAACACAGAACACACAGAGAACACAGAAGACGCAGAGAACACAGAAGACGCAGAGAACACAGAAGACGCAGAGAACACAGAAAGACGCAGAGAACACAGAAGACGCAGAGAACACAGAAGACGCAGAGAACACAGAAGACGCAGAGAACACAGAAGACGCAGAGAACACAGAAGACGCAGAGAACACAGAAGACGCAGAGAACACAGAAGACGCAGAGAACACAGAAGACGCAGAGAACACAGAAGACACAGAGAACACAGAAGACGCAGAGAACACAGAAGACGCAGAGAACACAGAAGACGCAGAGAACACAGAAGACGCAGAGAACACAGAAGACGCAGAGAACACAGAAGACGCAGAGAACACAGAAGACGCAGAGAACACAGAAGACGCAGAGAACACAGAAGACGCAGAGAACACAGAAGACGCAGAGAACACAGAAGACGCAGAGAACACAGAAGACGCAGAGAACACAGAAGACGCAGAGAACACAGAAGACACAGAGAACACAGAACACACAGAGAACACAGAAGACGCAGAGAACACAGAAGACGCAGAGAACACAGAAGGCGCAGAGAACACAGAAGACGCAGAGAACACAGAAGACACAGAGAACACAGAACACACAGAGAACACAGAAGACGCAGAGAACACAGAAGACGCAGAGAACACAGAAGACACAGAGAACACAGAAGACGCAGAGAATACAGAAGACGCAGAGAACACAGAAGACGCAGAGAACACAGAAGACGCAGAGAACACAGAAGACGCAGAGAACACAGACGACGCAGAGAACACAGAAGACACGGAGAACACAGAAGACACAGAGAACACACAGAGAACACACAGAGAACACAGAGCACACAGAGAACACACAGAGAACACAGAGCACACAGAGAACACAGAAGATGCAGAGAACACATAAGACACAGTGAACACAGAAGACACAGAGAACACAGAAGACACAGAGAACACACAGAGAACACAGAAGACGCAGATAACACACAGAGAACACAGAACACACAGAGAACACACAGAGAACACAGAAGACGTAGAGAACACACAGAGAACACAGAGCACACAGAGAACACAGAAGACGCAGTGAACACGGAAGACACAGAGAACACAGAGCACAATATGAAGTTCAACGATGAGAAATTTCAATTACTCAGATATGGTAAACATGAGGAAATTAAATCTTCATCAGAGTACAAAACAAATTCTGGCCACAAAATAGAGCGAAACACCAACGTCAAAGACTGGGAGTGATTATGTCGGAGGATCTCACCTTCAAGGACCATAAC